GGCAGCCATTACAGCCGACCATGCGTTTGTTGTTGTCCCAGGAGAGCCCGGTCGCACATTAATATTATTAGTTCGTTATGCAAGACTGCCTTTTTTCTTTGTTTTTCACATCATGTTGCCTGCTTGGATCTGTTACTATCTCGCTCAGAGGCATGAAGGAGTTTTAGAGGTAAGCTCACTTCAACCGCTTTTTACGATGGGGTTTAATTTCCGGACTAAGGGATTTTGTGAATGAGGCCGATATTTCAGTTAAAATACATCAGCAAAAATATTTATTTTTTCCGAGTATAGTACTACCCACCAACTTTATGCATGATTTTATGGATTAAATTTTACATATTTTACTCAAATAAATACGGTACTTTCTGTTAGTTTTGTCAAAACCAGTCTTGTGGTTCAGGAAATATTTTGCTAACAGAGCTGTAGGTTAATGATAAAGTGTTAAACAAAGATGTTGCATCATGTGTGGCGCATGTGTTAGCTACAACCACAACAAATTTTAGCTCAGTGTGTAAAATTGACAAAGCTTTAGCTTGTTTTTGATTTTGATTTTTATGTTGACTATCAGATGTGGAGAACAATTTGAATGGGATTGACTCCAGAAGTTATTCAGGTGTAAACACACCTCTAATGGTTACATTTTGAGTGCTTCATTAAAACCCGTGGTTCACAAAATATTTTGCAAATGGACAAACACAAAAACACATAAATATTATTGTGCACCTTTTCTCTTTAAGTGTTGGGTGACAAAAAATCTAATATACATATTTTTTTCCAAAATGACACCCAGTTTTAAAGCTAAATAAATTAATTGATCCAGATTGTTGGACAGAGGTAGGTGTAATCAGTTGAAAAAAACAAACAAACAAACAAACAAAAAAAAAAACTTTTATATAACCAGATGATACATACGTAACAATTTGATCCTGTCTTTTGTTGCACAATTTAAAACATTAAAGTGTACAAGATAACAAAACATTCTGTACAAGTTTAAAATAGATTGAGACTGACTGAACAGCATACATACATTTTTAATAAATACATGTTTCCTTTTTGTAAATTTAGACTACTTATGCTTCATCTAGTTTTATTTTTACACATATTACAGATAAGATAAATATAACTTGAATTAGAATTTAGTGTATGAGAACAGCATTCCTTGACAGAATGCACTCAATTACATCCTACTTTTATTTTCACATAAAACTCATTCATATTAACAATATAAGGCAGGGCCGGGCAACTTAAATGATGGAAAGGGCCACAATTTTTTGTTGACACTAGCAGGGGGTCACATATTGCTGCACACTTACTCAAATGTAATAAAACTGCCATTTTAAAAATATTTGTGTAAATTAAAGTGTRCATACAGTGCAGTAATTTAACGTTGTATTTTATGCTCAAACACGTATAACAGCTGTACTTTCAACACATTGTCACTCCCGACTCRTCAACATATTGACGCTTTTCCAAATTCCCTCTGCGTCGGGTTTTGACACGTCAGGTACTCCCCTTGCGTCATTTTATGAGATGGGGCAGAATCTGTTGTCATAATTTCTGAAAGTGTAGAAAATGCACAAAAACTACCATCCCAAAGCCTAATATTACCTTTATTCACTTTAGACATCCTGTCCCTGACCCTAGTACCTAAAATTAACCATTAACCCTGATACCTAATATTAACCATTTTTAGAAAATGCAGGAAATTCACGTCAACTACGTGCTCCAAAGGCTAAAATTATCAAATATTTGCTGTAGACATCCTATCCCTGACCCCAGTACCTAAACTTAAACATTTATCCTGATCCCTCATGTTAACCTCAGACCCCCGACCCAAAGACCCCTGGTAGCGCAACCTGGAAAAGCCACGGGCGGCAAGGACTGACGCAAGGGGGTCACCCGACGCGTCAAAATGAGACGCACAGGGGACTTTGGAAAAGCGTCAATTTGTTGACGAGTCGGGAGCAAGAATGTGTTAGTACTTTAGTTTAATAAATAAGAAAACAAAACATTTGAAGCAAACAAAAAAATAAACACTTACTTACACTCACCGGCCACTTTATTAGGTACACCACGCTAGTAACGGGTTGGACCCCCTTTTGCCTTCAGAACTGCCTCAATTCTTCGTGGCATAGATTCAACAAGATGCTGGAAGCATTCCTCAGAGATTTTGGTCCATATTGACATGATGGCATCACACAGTTGCCACAGATTTGTCGGCTGCACATCCATGATGCGAATCTCCCGTTCCACCACATCCCAAAGATGCTCTATTGGATTGAGATCTGGTGACTGTGGAGGCCATTTGAGTACAGTGAACTCATTGTCATGTTCAAGAAACCAGTCTGAGATGATTCCAGCTTTATGACATGGCGCATTATCCTGCTGAAAGTAGCCATCAGATGTTGGGTACATTGTGGTCATAAAGGGATGGACATGGTCAGCAACAATACTCAGGTAGGCTGTGGCGTTGCAACGATGCTCAATTGGTACCAAGGGGCCCAAAGAGTGCCAAGAAAAGATTCCCCACACCATGACACCACCACTACCAGCCTGAACCGTTGATACAAGGCAGGATGGATCCATGCTTTCATGTTGTTGACGCCAAATTCTGACCCTACCATCCGAATGTCGCAGCAGAAATCGAGACTCATCAGACCAGGCAACGTTTTTCCAATCTTCTCTTGTCCAATTTCGATGAGCTTGTGCAAATTGTAGCCTCAGTTTCATGTTCTTAGCTGAAAGGAGTGGCACCCRGTGTGGTCTTCTGCTGCTGAAGCCCATCTGCCTCAAAGTTCGACGTACTGTGCGTTCAGAGATGCTCTTCTGCCTACCTTGGTCGTAACGGGTGGTTATTTGAGTCACTGTTGCCTTTCTATCAGCTCGAACCAGTCTGCCCATTCTCCTCTGACCTCTGGCATCAACAAGGCATTTCCGCCCACAGGACTGCCGCTCACTGGATGTTTTKTCTTTTTCGGACCATTCTCTGTAAACCCTAGAGATGGTTGTGCGTGAAAATCCCAGTAGATCAGCAGTTTCTGAAATACTCAGACCAGCCCTTCTGGCACCAACAACCATGCCATGTTCAAAGGCACTCAAATCACCTTTCTTCCCCATACTGATGCTCGGTTTGAACTGCAGGAGATTGTCTTGACCATGTCTACATGCCTAAATGCACTGAGTTGCCRCCATGTGATTGGCTGATTAGAAATTAAGTGTTAACGAGCAGTTGGACAGGTGTACCTAATAAAGTGGCCGGTGAGTGTACAKTAGTGAGGTTAAGTGTAAGGGCATAATACGCCTTGAGTGCAGACTCCTGCGTGGTTGTGGTTCTGGTAAAAAAGTTGCTGTTGTTTATGTACTTGCAACTTTAGTAAATTTATCATATTTAGCTTTGTGCAACGTAATGTGTTGGTGACTTATATTAAAATCCTTCAAGGCGGACATCGTCTCTAAGCAAAAATATAGGTGTGCATTCTGTGAACAGAGGTTAATTTTTGTATTTATTACTTAAAAATACACTCAAAGCAGCCATTGGATTTGCTTTCAGTGATTTTTTTAAAGTAAAATAGTAATTAAATAAATCATTTATTATTATTTTTTTTTGGATGGCCATACTGAGGTCACCTGCAGGCCAGATGTGGCATGCGGGCCACCAGTTGGCCACACCTAATATGCGGCAACGGCAGAACTGATTTATGCTTATTTTTAAAATGATTCTACCTCCATTCTCACCATCATCTTTTGGATTTTAAAGCCACACCCCCATCTTCCTAAACCTGCCACGTGTTCGATGAAAATCAAGGTTATGTTTAGGCAAATCAAATTGTTGTGTTACTTGGTGCAATCTCACTTTATTTCAGTCGTCAGACGTCTTTAAAACGGACAAGATGGAAAGTCTATCTGCACGAGGTTAAAGGTGCATTTCAAAGCCGTATTAACTATGACATCAGTCTCAYGAGGGTCCAGTGGGAAATACCTGTATGTTAGTGAGGAGAGTCTCTATTGATGACAGACCATCTGGGAAGAGGAATGGCGACGGGAAACCAGGAGGGAGAGCCTGTCCGGCCAACGACAACCTCTCGTAGCTGTCTCTTGCTGTCGGGGTGCACATCGGGTTGTCCTCTGCAAAGAAAAAGAGAGACAATGAAAGATCCAGAAAAAAACCTTCTGTTTGTTTGTATATAAGAACTAACAGAAGATGAGAGTAGCCTTTTGGCCATGCTGACACAAACTGAGGTTGACAGTAGCAACGGCTGGGTTTGTATTGATCTCCAGAGGGCAATCCCAGTTCTGCCCACCACTCAGAAAAAAAAGTGGACTGATAGGTCCCTTGGAGATTTTCTCATATTGTTTCTTCTTGAAGCCTGACAAAAAGGGGTTAAGTAATATAAACTACAAAATAAATCCAGCTACCCTCGTTTTAAGAGATATCGCGTGGATTCCGAAATAACGAAGCAACTTGAACCCCAGGGGCTCGCTGCTTCCTTTGTGCGTGCATGCCCGGGTGCCTGTCAAACCTGAGATGACATCATCCTCCATTCATCACCGGCAGAAGGGTAGGGCCCGGCCATCTGCTGTCCAGCCTCTCCGCTGGCTCTCAGAGGAGGGACGAGCAGCAGAGGAGGGAGGGGCGGAGAAGCAGGAAGGTGGACGGGCAGGCGTGCGGCCCGCTTAAACTCAAACAATATGTCACGCACCACCATTTGCTGCACCTATCAGCTCTGACACATGTTTTTGTCCGATGAGCTTAAGCCAAGAATTTGTGAGCATCTCAGCGGTATGCTTGATTTAACACACACACWATCTAAGAAAAGGTCTCCGCCCAAAAAGACTGGGTTTTCAATGTACGCCTGGGCGTGCAGCACCTCTCTGCTCTCATCCAGTATTCATATGTGTTTATGTGGCGGGCTGAGTCTTGTACAAACAGCAAACGGAGCTGAACAGCCCTGCTGCCTCTTCCCTCCCATCAATATTCACCAACGCCAGCCAAGTGCTGGGAACAGCTGGTCTTACATTAATTAGTTTAAAGTATTTATTTCACCCATCCTCAGAGCAGATTGAGCAAAAACATTGGAGATTATTTCAAGCATCTGCAAATGCCCTGGAAACATCCTGGCGCCAAAAGTCGAGTGCTAGGATTCACAGTTTAGATTTGTAATTTGGAGAACGCTTTTTTTTYTTCCTCTCCGAATGGAGGGAAGAGACGGTGAAATATGCACCGCTGGTCCGTGGAGAGAGTAAACAACCTTTCTCCTTTTTCCGACGTAGTTCACTTCTGTTGATTAATTAGAATGGATGGTTGCCTAATGGATTAAAATTTGTTTATAATTTGACTTCATAAAAATAATGAATTGCCTACTTTTAGGAAGCCGCTCTTGTGGTAATTTATTTTGTTCTGTGCAGTCCTGTCTGATTTGCTTGTTTTTTTATTGTTTGTTTGCTTGCCTTTTTTTTTTTGAGGGGGCGTCAGGGTGGAGATGTAGAAATGCACTCTCCCTTACACCGTGGCACAACATGAAAGTCCCATTTTATCTCAATAAAATAACTAATCAAAGATCAAAAGCATTACAGCTGGCTCCAGCTCAGGCTGATATAGATGTATTGCGTGCGTTATATGCATGCATCACCCACCTCCAATAAAATCACCATAACAACTCGGGACGTTAGTAGGACCTCGGGGAAAGGTCTGCCGTTGTAGCTTTGTAATTGATTTGTACTGTAGGCACTTTGTCCCTTATTTAGTGTTGGCATTAATCATAAATCATTGCTTTAACAAACTCCGGCTTCCCACTCAGCAGGCCTTCCCTGCAACACAATGTTGGATCACAGAGAATATTTGATGGCTTTGTTGCGGTGGAAACAACCTGTCATGCTCTGGGAATGAAAAAAAAAAAAAAACGAACCAAACAGCGTGTTTTGTTCGACAGACTCCGACTACCGTTACGGCACCTCTTGTCAGATAACATTTCCACCAGGAGCGATGCATAAAGAGCGGCGTTTTAGAAAAAGAAAAGCAACGCGCCGCCAATCGGTGGCTAATTTGATCAATATAATCAAACAGGGCTTAATGAAACTGAATGAAAAACTCAATGGAACTCAATCTGGATCTGCTTTTATTTGTACTACAC